TTCTTTTGCTTCCTTAAGTACAAAAGATTAGGGTATTTATAGACCCTAAATGACTTTAAAATTTGAAGCTAATATTTAAATCCTTGAGATTTTGGGGTATTAACGGTACCACCACCTATGTTGGGCGGTACCACCACTTGCAGCACTAACATTGAGTAGTACTATCGCCTAGTCTAATGGTACCACTGCTTGACATAATCTTAAAGATTGTGTCTTGGAGACCGAACCTCTAGCGGTTCAATTGCTTGGACCGACGGTGCCACCGCTTAACTGAACTTTTGGGTCACTGAATGGGCCTCTTAATGAGCCCAAATTAGTTCTAATTGGCTCCTAATTGAGTTAGCCTAATTACATTCAAAATTAACTCAATTACGACCTAAACTACTTCAATGTAGACAAATTTTTACAAATCATAAACTACATGTTTGTCCAGTATGTCATTGGTTCCTCTAATGTTTCATCCGACCCTTCAGCTCATCATCCTCTCCTTTGGCGTATTGCTCAATCGACATGTTGACCTCCTGCAACATCCAATATTCTTGGCACAATATCCAATCCTTCTGGCCCAATACCCGAACTCATGGCATGAAGCCTTCTACTGACACGTCGACCAATCTTCTAACATTGTTCATTCCGGCTCAACAATTGATTCTTCCTGCTTTAATCAATTTACTTCTTCTTGATCGAAGCTAGTCCTATATCACTTAAATGCACATTAGATCATAACTTTATCAATTAATTTTATCATCAAAATCCGAGATTCAACAGTTGCTACCAAGGAAGCTAATAGGAACAGAATTGATGCGAACCCTACAACATGATGGCGGTGGTCATGCATGAGAGTTGCAATTTGTCTTTCTATCGACCAAGGGGAACTACTCGGAAAACACAAAGGTATTAAGACTAGGGGTCGAAAGGGGCAAGAAAACGATGATGAGTCTAAAGGGATTTAGCTACCCAAAATCAAGTATCGGTTAGAATTGAGATGGACTCGAATGAGTGTCACAGTGTCATAAAGGCAGATCTACTGATCATGAAGAACGAGACACAGATGTAAGATGATAGATAGTAGGACCTTGGGCATGGCAGCACCATGGTACTGTAGAGGCGAGACTTTTATAAAGTCATCGATCCCTTGTTCTCATAAAGGGAGAGTGCTTGGTTATGAAAGTAGCTGAGGAGGTGGAGAATGTGAATGCGAACTCTAAGTATGGAGACAATGCTTAAGGGCAGAGGTTAGGGATCTTCGTAAGACTAGTGTCAACAAGCTTCTCATCATGATAGCCGAAAGTGGAAGACTTCGAGTCGATGCAAGAGTGCTTGACTAAGATGATGGAGTAGGCGATGTTGACAGTACATGATGTTGTACCTTTGTAATTCAGAGGAGTAGGCGGCAAAGATGATGGAGAATACAGTACAATCCTAGAGGCGACCAAAACTACTAGAGACTTACTCCAAGTTATAGTGAAAACATCATACATTCCAAAAGTTTGATGACATTGAGAAGGTGAATCACAGTAGTTAACTCAACGCGAGGAGTGAAAACACTTCAAGTGTTTCAGAAATGTGAGCAAAGAGCAGGCGAAGGCTAATAACCAGCTCAATGCATGGAGTACAATCCTCGAGGAGGGGGGTGAAATCAAAGAAACGTTTGTCTTCTTAACTCTTAAGAGAATGGGTGAAATCGAGTACTCCAATTATCTTATATATTAAGTAGAGGGGCTCTACACAAGTTCAAAGACCATTCAAAGAAACTTAATGGAAGACAAAAGTTGTCAAATTTTCACTAGTGGTGATCAATGCTATTGAGAGTAGATTATCCGCTTCATTTTCTAATATAATATCAATTAAAAGCGGAGGTAATGTGAACATACTTGAAAGTGATAACTAAGTAGAAGAATAATTGATGAGTAAATTTTATAAAAGAATGACCCAAAAACTTTAAAGTCGTGAGGCGATGCTCGTTAAAACTCCAACAAACATCCACCTAATTCAAGCGGTATGAGATATTTGAGAGACTAACAAATACTAAAAATGATCTTTTCCTTCATTTGAGAGATTTACAGGAAGCAATAGTGATCAACACAACTTAGCTAACCTCATATTAGAGTTAGAGTCATTGTTGAGTTGAAGCAGCATGACAGATCAAAGTTCAATCACTCAACAATAGCGGCAAAGTCTAATTGGGAGCCAAGAGGCGTAATGCAACTGGAGCAAAAGATTGAAGACTCAGCAAAGGCAAAGAGATGCAGTGTCTGCAAAGGCTTCGATGATGACGTTGAGGGAATAAGTGGGGGAGAATGTCATAGACAAAACTGTAAATGAGGTGTTTGATGTAATGCTCATGTATGTCTGTATCTTTCAATTTTGTTCATGCTTTACAGAACATTTAAAGAGCTGACAGTAGGCTTAGCATCCATATTTTCTTTAGTTTTAGTGGTTGTCTTAGGTTTACAAATAAAGGTTATGTCATATGGATACTTGTGAGGATTTTTGGTCTATAGTGGATCATTTTGGACCCTTTGTTGTACGATCATCTAGAGCTTATAAAATATGTTTGTAATTTTTATTGACTATAAAATGTTTATTGATTGCTTGTGGATCCCGAGTGAGACACTTTCTCTAATTTGTTTTCTCATTTATAAATCCTAAGGAACTAGAGGAGATTTGGGAGAGGTTAACCATTGTGAACAGATAAGCAAGGGTACATATGAGAAAACTTGCACGCTTGTCGCACTTGTTGTGAACAGATAATCAAGGGTACATATGAGATTACATACTGTACCGCACGACGCGTACATATGAGATAAGCAAATTTGGGGGAGGTTAACCGTTGTGAACAGATAAGCAAGGGTACATATGAGATTACATACTGTACCGCACGACGCGTAACAGTTGCACCTATTAAACTTGCACGCTTGTCGCACTTGTTGGCTCGCCCGCGACATCTGCTCGTCCACCGGTCACTCGCCGCTCGCCCACTGCCCCTCTTTTCAATCCGTTCGTTGTTAATTTTTACTGTATAAAAGTTGCCACTGTGATTATTATGTTACATATGTGTCTTTAGTTGTAATTTTTATTACAGATGCAGCAGAAGAGTCATCTCTAAAGATAGACAACTTGCATCAGAAATAAAAGAAAGCAAATGTACAAAAGTTTTTATCATCGTTATCGCTATCATGTCAGAAATTACCTCTGAGTCAAACTGGCAAAGTTCATGAACCAATAAGCATACTAGTTTTTATCGTCGTTGTCGCTTTCATGTCAGTATGAGCTCATGTAAACAAATGAACAAATTTGAATGTAATTTTTGTTAGCTTACAGTAACTCTGCTTAAGTTGTTGTGATATCTCGATACGATGAGTCTCATGCAAATAAAGTTACAAGGAGAAAGCAAATGAATAAAAGTATTCGAGCTCCTAGATCTATTTCAAAGATGCCCGTCAACATCAATTCTATTGATGTTGCCACAGATTTTTTTTTTTCTTTTGTCATGCTACTTTCATAATCAGGCAAATGAAATAAGATTTTACATCCAACATAAACACTTTCATTTCATACAGGAAAATGAGAGAAAAAATTAATTTCTCATCATTTCAATAAAAAAAATGTTTGTGACGGGTGAACAGGTGCGGTAGGCTAGTGACGATCGAGCAGGTGCTATGGGTGAGCAATTGCGACGAGCGAGGGATGAGCGATTAGGTGCGATGGGCAAGCAATGGTTAAGTAGGTGCGGTGGGCAAATGAGTAGTGAGTGATGGGCGACAAGTATGACGGGCAAGCAGAATCAATAGACAACGAGCGAATAGGTTGGAACGAGGAGAGGAAGAGAAAATCGATTAGGAAAGTTTATATAAAATTAATAATTTAAAGATAGTAAAATTATGTTTTTATCACTTCCATTGTTATCACATGTTTTTTTTCCATGGAGAAAGTTAACGACATAAAAGAATTAATATTAAATATTTCACTTTTATAAATTTAGGAATCCCACTACTATTTTTAAAGTATAAGATCGGAATATTAATCATAGTTAATGATAGGAGCTAATATGTAATTATCCTAAAATTTTTGTATGTTTTACTCCTAAAAAGAATGTTTTTTTTTCATATGTACCTCTATAAGTATTTTACATAAATCATGAGATTAGATTAAAAGAGAGCCTCCTCAAATTGCATGTGTTATGGTAAGTAACTTTTTTAGTCGTGACCTTGGGGTCGACGCGGTTGGTTCAGGGGTCCGAACAGCTAGGATCAGGCGTGACTCCCCTTAGGATCTTGTGACGACCGATTGCGAGGGATCTGGCTGGAATGCTTCGTGACGACGGGTTGGGTCGGCTTCGGTCAAGTACCTGCACACAGGTCGGGTCGACGGTTCGGCCCGACCCCTCTGACGATCAAGTCAGTGATTGGGAGAGGAGTTTTTGGGTGAAGTCGTGCTTCTGTGTGCTTACCCTGCTCGCTTGGAGCCCGAGGGTATTTATAGGTAAGTTCGATGTTACCTGATGCGCCATCCTGCCGGGGCAGGGCTGTACACCCGATTGCGTCTGTCGTCATCGTGGTCGTTGCGTGGAAGGCCGAGTCGCCGCAGGGTATGGTGAGCCTTGGTCGACGCCTTCCCCTGCCTCGTCCGGTCGTGCGGGGTCAGACGATGAGGTCGTCTGGGCACGGTGAGCGAGGGTGCACATTATGTTGGTGTTAATGCTCGTCCCCTGGGGCAGTGTGCCGTCCAAGGGTGGCTGACGTCGGGGTGTATCACGTTAAATCCGGTGTGTTACGTCCAATTTGTTTTTACCCCTATCAGCATGCATAATGAAATTTAGATGAGCCTTGTTTAAAGCGGCTTGATCATCTCGGCCAACCTGAACTAAGATTTAGATGATATCAAACTTAAGTGAGGATTAAAGATGCGACCAATCATGCTTTCAATAGTTATAGCACATTAAGAAATCAGGAAAAGATGCGACCACATCCACAGAGATATGCTTAAATGGGCTCGCATGAAGTTTGAAGGACATAAATCATGCTTAATAAACCTTTAATTAGTTTCCCTAAAGCCAACACGGAAATAGATTAGGATTAGCATCGTGGCAGCAGAAGGATCCTGGACTTGGGGCCCGCTCCCGCTGGCTCACATGACGGACAGGTGGCGGAAAGCGGACCCCACTTTTTGCACTGGCTTCCAACAACCCGAACGGGGACCACTCGCAACCCCGTTCCAACCCCACCCACCGTGAACACCACCCCTCGCACGTGCCGACCTCGCTGTGAATGCAACGGCGACTGTTTCACGGGCTGGAGGCCACCGTGCTTTGTGGCGCCACTGAATTGGGAGTTGCACAGAGAGCCACAGCAATGGGAAACAGAAGAAAAGTTAAAAAAGGAGTAGAAGAGGGGCAATCCTTCGGCTTATCCTAAATCCAGTTCTAATCTTCGGCGCTGCTGTCGTCGTCGTCGTCATCGTCTTCGTCATCCTCGTAGTCGTCCAGCTCATGCACTTGCCCGCGCCGCAACGCGCCGGGATTTGACATCAGTTGCAGCTCTTGCTTTCCTCCAGTCGCCGGAGCGTACGCGGCGGCGACCGGTGGCGCGGCACTGTGCTGAACCTCCGCCGCCCTGGCGACGTTGACGCCGGAAGCTGTGGTGGTGAACCGTGTCTCGGTGGAGACTGGGCGGACCGCTGTGAGATTAATGATCTGTGGCGCCCGGGGAAACGTCCATATTTGGGACTGGCTCGACGGGGCCACCGCCACGGATGGCGGTGGCAGCACCCACAGCGCTCCCGGCGGTATCATGCTAGCCCCGGCTGCGTCGCCTCCGAGCGTCCACATCGGCATCATCCCTTGCGCCCCTGGCCCGATTGGCGCCAAGCCGGAAGATATCGAGATGGCGCCGCCCACCGGAAGCAACGGGTCCTGGACGGGGTAGTACCCGGCGATGACAGTGCCGCCACCAGTCCGTGACGGCTGGAGTTTCTTCCTTCGTTTCTTGCCCGCTTCCTCGTCGTCCGTTGCTGGCGCGTCGTCGGCGGCCACGATGGTGGATGTGGAGCTCACTGGAGCGGAGGTCGGTGCCTCAGTGGGTATTTTCAGGGTCCCGCCGACGTTGGTGGCAATGGCAGGGACAGTCCCCGTGCCGGTGGCGGCAATGATCGCCGGCTCAGCGTGCTCGAGGAGCCACTTTATGGTCTCGCCGTCGGACTTGTGTCCCAGCTCGCGGGTTAGCTGGAAGATGCGGGCGGCGCATGCCGCCGGCATCCGGATCCTCCGGCCACGGCCCTCCACTTTCGTGTGCCGGTCCTTGGTCCGGCTTGCTGGCCTCCGGACTATCTGGAAAGCCCCAACCCCTAACATCTCGATCGGCTCCGGCTTCGGGACGATGATGCGGTGTACCGGTATTGCCCCGGGGGACGGAACCGCTACCCCGCTAAGGCTGCGGCCGCCGCCTCCGGTTGCCTTCCTCTGCCAAACCTCTTCGTCGCGCTTCTGTGTTTCCATATCTCCCCACCTTACCCTCTTCGAAAAAGCTCACGTCCTTCGCCTTTTCCCTCCCTTCTCCCCAAAATAACAGATCGCACGCACACTTGCACACGAATCAAAACCTAGAAACCCACTCCCCTCTCTTTTTATCCTCCATCCTAGGCTACGGTAAATGGACCCCTATCCCAGATCGGGACCCAGCTCCGCGCTGTAACGAGCGTCGGATTCCAGGATGGTCCACTTGGTCGAGATTTAAGGGTAGACAAGAAGGTTGATTTGGGGAATTCGGTGAACCGGTAATTGTTTAATCTTGGAAAGGCCAAAGCGTGCGTGTCGCGTGTCGCGTGCGTGGTAATTGATTCCCAGACTGCTCGTCTTCTACCCGTTTGATCTGAACCATATTTTTCCTACCATTAATATCGTACCCGTGGGACCTACCTGTCTTGTGACTGGAGTTAACGGTGACTCCACAGGCAACGCCTGCGAGATCGACGAGTCATGGTTCCAATCCGTAGCACAGGTAGGTAAACTCCCTCAGCGCTCTTCTCATACGAAACCTCGCCAAAACTTCTCGTCCTAGAAACACACACGGACCTCTGCTCTGTTGAACCACTCCGATAGGTTGCAACAGCAGCGGGACCCTGGTCCCTTAAATCGTTGTCCTCTCGTTTATCACGTCACTTTACTGACGGTGTGGGCTCGGTACTGCGCCAGCCGGGTCCCCTTTGCCCTCGCAGAGAAAACGAAGGTGGTCGGTGGGGAGAGGTCGGCATGGGCGACTGGGTCCCACAGAGAAAACGCGAGGCCCACAACCAAGGTGGGGTCATCCGGAGGGTGCGAGACGACAAGCTACGGACGGAGACTGGGTGGGGCAGTGGTCCCCACGCCACGTACCAGGGGTGGTGGGTGGGGCACGTGGCGCGGACCCTACCTGACTGTTGAACGCGTTTCGACCCTTGGTTGGGTGGTTGTTCTTGTCCAGAGGTACCGTGGGCCCCACCGTGGGAATAACTGGCTGCGCGGTTTTGAACTGCTTACGACGGGTTTACCCATAACAAACCATTTCGCTCGCGGTCGGTGGCCCCCATCGGCTCGTCAACTGCCCCACCTACTCTTGGTAAAAACTCAATGGTCCTTCCGATCCCCCCATCGGACGGTGAGGAATGGTGAGTGAGGCCAGCTGGAGACAACCGGGTGACGGACACCAAATAAATCGGGTTTCGCGAATATCCAAGTTATTATTCTCTTGTATCGAGACATCTTTCATGATGAGCTACCCTCGACGGAACCCACTGCGCAACCGACCATTGCGCATGTAGTCCTTGGCCGATGTGGGTCCCGATTGTGGAGCCATGGCAAGGGAGGAGTAACGGAAGGGCAATAGCTACCTTGCAACCACTTTGTATATGTAAACGGGTACTTACATACGTACCCATTCATACGCTTATTTTTCCATATGCCTTGTGACTGACGAGAGTGTATGATAACATCTCAGCGAGGCATTCATGCAAATACGTGTGCGGCGTCCCTGTATCCATCTCGCGCGACCTATCTAGGCTTGGAGGGGGCGAGCTTGATGACGAGTCCCGGGAAGACGTCGTCGGGGTCGTGGATGTGCGGGTTGCGCTCCACGATGAAGTGATCTCCGCACTCGTCGCTGATGATGTGCAGCGTCTCCCCCTCCCCTACCACGTAAAGTCTCGTCGCACGCCCGCTCGCGGAGCCTCCCGGCCCGCGCTGGCAGCTGATCCCTCGGCAACGAGCACAACAGGACCAGGGCGACGATGACAAGCGCCAGGAACCACGAGGCGGCATCGGCGACGTTGGCCAGAGGTCTCGTTTTGAGTGAAGTCATTCGAGTTTAGCTGATGGAGAGACGGAGGAGGAGTTGTGGTCGAAGGCAGTCGCCAGGTATGAACTGGAGCAGAGAATTCGGGCGGTGGGAGTTGAACTGATGCAACCACTAGAGATGGGATTCAGATGGCCGGAGAGGCATTTGGACTCGGATCATTGCACACATTATTCTGGGGAAGATGTCAGCCGGCAAGCCCAACATTTCCGGACACAACTCCATGTCGAACATTCCAAGATGGTAGCGCACCACCGCGGCTGATCACATCAATGCCATGTATTCGACAATTATCCATGACATTTTTTAAAAATATATTTTTCTTAAGTTCACTCACGTGTTAATTTGTCATCTGTCAATCCATGCGTTAGTAATATAAATCAACGTATCGTATCTGATTTCTAAGCTTAAGCTGTTAGATGGAATGACATTACTGAAAAATACTAAATTTTGATAATTTAAGAATGATGTTTTTATAGTGATTTTATTACACTATTGATCCTTATATTATAGTGCTGTTAATCATCATCTTGTACGAATCTGTCACCGTCAAAAAGATAATTAAAATATTAAAACTATATTTCTGTTTCTCATTTTTGTACATTTCTATACCATATTATCACGTATTGTACATTCCATTCGTAAAATCGATAACATAAGTACAAATAAACTTAAATATTTCACTTTTATAACTATAAAATTTTCAATATAAAATTTTTAAATCTAAAAACTGAGATATAAAAAAAATCTAACTATAAATAATAATATATAATTAACCCAGTCATAATCACATGTTAAAATGATTCCAGCTAACTCAAAAACATACAACCAGAAGAGTATAATTGTATATGGAAAAATTCATAGTATCGTCACCAATCAATCACCTCATCCAACTCAAATAACCATCAACTAGGAACGTCAAAGTATCACGAAAAATAGTACACTTCATTGCTATGAAATAGAAAAAGAACAGATAAGGTGTGATAGAAAAGTAAGAAGGGGAATATGCTATACCACCAAATGTTTAAAAAGTAAAAGAAGCCCTTGAGGATTGATCGGTGACGATACTATTGGTACAAAGATTGAGAAAACAGGAAGGTGCAGCTTCGCTTTATTACCCAAAATAAATTGCTTTCTTGAGGATTGATCCATCTACATGAATTAGCAAAAAATAATTACATCCATCCTACCACCTGACATCAATTAGATAACAAAATTGGTGCATGTACAATTAGCTATCATCACTTGCACTATAATTAGAAATGGATAATACAAGAATGGATGGATACAAGCAAGAATACTGGTTCATGATCTTCAAATGCATCGTATGAACTTCTCAAGCAGCTTAAAAACCTTCTGGTTTTCCGCACGATAATTAGAAATGGATAATATAAGAATGGATGGATACAAGCAAGAACATTGGTTTGTGATCTTTCAAATGCACCGATAAACTCCTCAAGCTGCTTAAAAAGCTTCTGGTTTTCTGCATGAGCTCCAACCAATAGTAAAAGAAAAAAAAACTATGAAGATCATGTGTCGTGTAAGGGGCAAAAGCTTCTAAGAGAACAACTGATGGAACAGCTTGCCAATGTTAGCTATCCACCAAAAGAGCTTGCTGCTCACTGTTCGAACAGGACCTTCTGAGTATGTACAGCCTAATTCTCATTTAACAAAACTAATCAAAGGAGACAGTTCACTATCATCCTCTTCGAGTTATCGGCTATGAAAGATTTTCTTGTGGACAATAGAGCCAAACTCGGGTGATATAAGTTTGGCTGCTCCGACCACACACTTGCGGTATGAGAAATCTTCTAGTGAACCATCCGACCTCAACAGAACAAAACATCGGGAGCCAGGATGCAATGGGCTACACCCAACCTGCAAGAGGTTAAGATATTATCTCAGAACTAGCAAGGAAAGAAGAGAAATGGTTAGCACAGACAAGCCAAAGGAACTGGAATGATGATTAATTATAAAACAATAGCAAGATACAGTAGAAGACATTGAACTGAAATTAGATTAGTCAACCGCCCATAAAGCTCTTCAATCAATATGCAATTAATCACCCATAAAGCTCTTCATTCAATTTTTTTTAACACAAAACACATATTATCAAACTCCTTTTATGAAGTTCAATGCACCAAATCCTTTAATTTTACTACCAAATCATTAATAGAAAGATTTCCAGTCACTTCATAAACTATCAAAAGATTATCTATTAATGTAGTAAAATAATAATATCAACTACCATTAGTTTTAATTTTTCATTGAGTAGACACATGGCATTTAATCCCAAAAGCCCAACAAAAGGAACTGTTCATCCTAAAGATGGAAAAATGTATAGCTTACATAAAGGGATCCATCCTATAATCTCCCATAAGAACCTCTTGTCTAGGACATCAAATGTAGGCCAGGTAAGCTGAAATTTACTAAATAAATTCATTCATTCAGCATATATATTTTTGAAAGTAAAAAAACTATAAAAGAAAATTCTAAATTTAGTCCAAGCAATTGTTTTAAAACCAATATGGTAATTACACCAAAAAACACAATGAACACAATGAATTTGTCATTGTCATTAATTCTGAAAGTAATCCTTTATAAATTATAGCCACTAGAAAGTAACCTTTAGATGTCAGTCAAACAAATAACGGATACTGCAATTAAGCTCTAAAAAATAAATACCTTGATTTTTTGGATTCCACTTCCTATTTTTGCAGCTCTTTTGGGATGATAGTTCAAAGCCTCGATTAAAGATGAATTATCTTTCTCATCAAGAAATCCATCAATTGGGTACCTTCAAAGATGAATACCTTTTATGATAAAGAAACCTTTCATCTCCCAAATATACTAAAATCAGGCTAGCAAACTGGAACAATTATTTGAAAGATAGAATCATCAGGAGTCAGGACTAAAACAGAGGAGGAAGAAAATACTGTTACAAGGGAACAATTAATACGAGGGGAAAATAATGAACTAGCCCATTCTATTTAGAAAACTTTCAGCAGGGAATGTTATGTTTCTATTTTCATCTTCTAACTAGAAGTTAAAATGATGAGCAATGATATGAAGTCGCATCATTAAAGTGACCATCGGTGTATTATTACAAATCATTAAAGTTAATTATCATTCCCCTGTGCACTGAACATAACCTAATCATTAAATTTAATTATTACAAATGGCTATTATGAAGGCCCCTAATAGAAACTAACAGAAGATGGCAGCCATAACTGGCCAAGTGACCATCCGTGTAACAATAATCACGAGTTGGTGCTCATGGTGAACTATAGATCGAAAAACATTATATTAGTGTATATGATTGGAGTCATTAACACACTTTACAATGGACAACGAAGGGGATATAATGCCAGTTACTTTTTACATACCATCCAAAATACATCAAAATATTTGTTATAACGGTTATAACAGTTCATATTTGGAAACTAGACATGGATGGAGGCTTAATCCTCCAAAAGAAATCTTTTCATCCTACATAATTATCAGAAGTGGTGACTTTAACAATCCACAGAAGTTCTATTTTCACGTCAGCAGTCAATCTTCTTCTATGCAAGGTAAAACACACAGCTGAAAGCACTTCAAACTGTATTACTACATATCAGAAAATAATAGCTTTTTACCCACTACACATCTTAGCAAAGCTATATACAAGAGTGGTCACAATCACCAGAGGCATGGTTACGAAATTAGGTATTTTCTTTATGCAATAAAAATTATAAACCATTGAGATTTCTGATATCTTATTCACCCTCGGTTAGCGTATTCTCCTTAAATAGAACCCCAATATTTGTCATCATCATTTTGCCATCGATGGATGATATTAACAGATAATCAAAACAAAATTAGTTTAACATAAGAAACAGTCCCTTTCAAAGGCATCAATCTCATAATGAGACATGTTGACGCAGAAAAACCACATTCCCAAGTAAAAGTTTCATAGGCTCATCTCAAACATATCTCTTACTATAGGCCTTTATTCATTTTAATAATCCAGATAATTCCCCATTGACCCATAATGAAATTACAATAATCTCAATTAACCCTCACAATGTAAGATCTAACTTCTACAGTTTTAATTATCTATCCCAACCAACCTTCTACAAGTAGCACCCAAGCATATCTTGGGGACAAGTGGTTAAAAAAAATGTCGAATATATCTAATAGTTGTTCACACTTTTATTCTTTTTCTTTTCAGTTGTAGTACTTGTAAGCATATTTTCATATATGATTATTCAACTTGGGCCATATCAAGATATGTTCATATCCTTTTTTGAAAAGCAAAGTAGAGCAATATTTATGAATATGAATACATGATGGAACCTTGTTTGTCCAACCAAGTCTGGCCCAACTCAGACAAGAAAACTAAATATGGATAGATGATTGTACTCCCTTTTGTTCATAATTGAGACTCATTAAACAGAAAATACACGCAATTAATGGATGTGTGACACAGGCATATATATGCTTGACACATGTTATAGTGCCTCTACATAAGAAGAATGAGAACACTGGAATGATAAAACATCAGCATTCATCCAGATGCATTAATTGAACGCTATTAAGGAATGCACATATCTTAAATGCAGTTCATGTGATCATATGTCAGGCGTCAAGGATATCTTTTCTTAATATGCAGTCAAGCTGGATGCAAGATGCTCAAGTAAACACCTAATAGCCAATGAGCAACTGATGGCACTAGAAGGTGCCGATGTAAGAAGGATTTAGAAAAATCAATATTAGCAATGCACTAAGTGATTGCATTGTCACTGATTCAATTTCAATGAGAAAAATGTAAGGAAGATGAAAAAAATGACATTTATTTATGAAGAACAATGAACACTCTGCAGTAATCATGAACAGGCTCAATGAAGACAGGTTAAACAACAGTTCTTAGTAAAGACAAATGGGAAACTAACATAGCTAACTGAGAGGCAGGCATAGAATAAGCTGTTCTTAAGGGGAACAAGGACCATAAGTGTAAGGAATACAACAGGAAAACTAACAAAATTTTAACACACTTTTATTTCTTTCAAATGTATACTTGTATAAAATCATGAACTCTTAGCAATTATCTATCAAATTCAGAAAGACATAACTCATTAAAATCATGTAAGATTCTCTATTGTTACAATGTAAAACAAAGGAAAAAACCATCATGGCAGGTGAACCAATTTGATATAAAAAGAACTCTGCAGCTCAGTTTTATTCATCCCACAAAATTGACTGATATAAAATAACAGGAACTTTGCAACAAAAAAGCCAACTTACTTGTATAGAATTGTTCGTAATGAAGAGCACATATCTACGACATCAGTCCATGAGCTAACACTTTCTGAAGAGAATTTTGATCTTAATCCAAAAGTTAAGTGGCTTTTAGCAAGAAAATCATTGGCTGAAATTTGTTGTTGCTTGTTGTAACCTTTACAGTTGGTACGAAATTTAGAAACGATTCTTTCCTTTAGGTGATCTTCATCAGAAGTCTGTGGGTCAATTGTCTCTTTAGCACCATCAAAATTGGTGGAATACTTTGGTTGCTGCTTCCACTTGGCAGGGACAGTTTGATTAGCAGCCATGCAAACTTCACCATCACCCTGCTGTAACTCAGCTTTAATGCTGTGCAAATTTTTATATATACCCTCACCTCTAGTTAGGTTATGAACCTGAAAATTTTATAAAGATTGATCAATAAAAACTGCTGCCTAGAAAACTCGAAGCAAAAACAAGAAGAATCAACCAATCAATTCAAAAATGCTTTCTATATATTTCAAGCCAATTAAAAAACCATGCAGATGTAAACCATTTTGAGATAAACATGGTTACACTGGAGGCCCTAAACACCCAATTAAGGCATTTAATTTGACTTTAGACAAAAGGCAAAGTAACAACTGCATAGATCATACTTATAGATCTAACCATGAAAAATTGCAGCTTGAGTACATTTCTGTTGTTTTAACGTTTATCATCATCCTACAATTGGTATCTTAATGCATACAAAGATCTCTTTGAATAGGAAACTATCCATAGAGTGCAAATTTTATGTTCATAGATTTCTCCCACCAATATGGATGATTAAAAAAACCAGGACTATCTGATGGGATATGATTAACTAAATAATTATATCAAAAACAGTTTGATTTTCCACATCATGTGTGATTCGCATGCAACGACTTGAGTTTTGGGCCATGAATTGCTTTACCTAGCAACAAAACTTTCTACTCACTAATTAAAGATACTTGAGAAGTCTAGAACAATATAATTGAAATGAAAACTTCATGAAACAAAAGGTAGAAGATTCAAAGTATATGGATCAGATATATTAACAAATATGAAATCATTTGAATATGAGTGTCTGTGGCAGTGGTCAATAATCTTCTGACTTCAATAACAGTTTTATCATAGATTGGAGTAAAACATTGTTACGAATTTGATTTTAGAACTGACATGCACCAATATAGGAAGTTGACTGAAACACATTTTTGATAGTTGGCGGTGGTACCTCTTTGTAGGTCCACCATGCAATTGTAGAGTTCAGTCAAGTGAGCATTCTCATGATGACCTAATAATCCACTAGGTACATAAACGATACTCTCTATCAGTGACTCAATATTTTCACTTCATTACATCTTGTTTGATAGACATTACAGACAATAATTTTGGTGAGGCACATGTCAGAAATTTAGTGCTTCACCAAATTTTATGAACCGACAAGCTTACATAATCACTCATTGCAAAAGTCATATAGTACTCCTAAGTCCTATGGGATCTTCTCACCAGTAAACAAAGTTGTTGACGAAAATGAAATATCGACAATAAAATGCAATTAATCAACCTAAAATGTGTAAAAACGATTTGTTTCCAACAACGAGTCACTCACCAAAATATCATTGTTATTTGCATTTCACTAAAGATCCAATAACTCAGATATAAATATAGCTATTATGTGATTTACCAATAAATGGCACATTCACAAGGTGACATTTCCACACGTTTACTTTCACATCTTTTAATAATTATCTTGCATCAAGAACTCCTTAAAGAGGGGGGTTAGATCCAATAAGGTCATGGGAGACATCATTGGATATGACAGCGAACAGAACTTCAGTATATAAATGACACCATGAAGCCATGGCCACTAATTGTGGACCACAAAAGAGAAATGGGCGACAAGACTGAAAGAACGCAAAGGTAGTGAAACATTAAAGAAAATGATATCTGAAAAACCAAAATATACAAAACAAATATGATAAAATTCCATTTTCTGTTAAATAAAACTAGAGAAGGAAAAAAATAACAGCATCAGGCCAGAGCACACCTTTACGTTAGGACCACAATATGGATATGGTTTACTTTTCAAAAACCATGCTACCAGAAAGAGTTATCAAAGATATGAGATAGGCTATATGCCAAAATTATCGGTAGCAATTAATAAGAGTCGCACCTTTCCTGAGTAAACAATTTCAAAAGGTCCACCAGTTCCACTTGGAGCCTCCTTACCCCAAGCCACTGCATCAAGTGTACCAGATAGATGATCCATTGAGCCTTGCTTAGCAGCATTTACAAAGCAATTTACAGGATTCTGCCAATGCTCCAACAAGAGACAAACAATACTGGGATAATATAGGACGAGAAATAAATGAGTAAAAAGCCACATGAAAAAAAAAAAGTACTCACAGATAGGCATGCTTGAGCGAATGGAGATGAGATTGACATATCGTTTCTTTGCTGTCTTAGACCTTTTGTGCTTAATCCATGAAACTCCCCAGTCACTGAAAGGCAATCTGCAGCCATAAATAAGTGTCTTTTATGTATGTCCCTCCCTATATCAGCTGTTACTGACTTCAAGGACTGCAAGTTGAATAGAATACATGATAGCCTATTAAAAGTGATCACTCAGTTTAACAAATTATTCAGAAAGAAAAACAAGAGACTCACTTTTACAAAGTACTTCCATGCAGCATCTATTCCATATGTGCCAGAAATATTATAAACATTGTCAGGATGACTGCATTGCCAGTCAATCAGGTCCATTATTGGTATACAGGCATCTTGAAGGTCACTCCAAAAACTTCCAGGTAAACATTTTTTAGACATTGTAACTCTTAGAAAAAGTTCAGAACCAGAACCTGGAAGGCTTTCACACAGTATTTCCACCTTCTCAGAAGCCCAAAAACCTGTGACACAAGATATGTATTAATTTGGCATGTCCTGTAAGTAGGAAAAAATAGGAAAACTTTGAGTAAATCAAAGATGGCATCACTTAAGTAAAGCAGGACGAACATGATTATTTACAAACATCACAAAAGCATGATCTATTAATTTCTCGATATAAATTATCTTTTTTCAATTGCTATTACCATGCAGAAATAGAATTATGAATTGAACTCAAAAACATTAACAGAAACATATAGTTTCGTTGCTTCAAATAAGGGTGACATGTCAACAACACCATGAATAGCATGTAATTCTTAACTTCATAATGTTGGCTATGTGGATCACACCTTCCAACATCTCATTTAGATAATAAGGCAGGATTCCCTCTATAGCTAATTTTTTGCGCACTGGAAGAGAAAACTTGGGTTTGAAACATCATTTCTATGTTCATGCATATAGGGACTAGACTTCAAATGACAAAGTGAAGGTGTGACCTCAGAAGAAACAATATGATGATAATTGTTCGTTACCTAGCTCTCTTCTCAAACATAGAAGGCCTGCCATCTGCTCAGATATAACAAGTGATAAGGTTAGTGTCTGCACACTTTTGACAAATAAACTATTTCTGTGCACAGTATCTTGTTATATTTTATATTTGGATATTGATCCAAATCTGGCACTTGAATCCATGATTAATGAAAATAGGAAGCGGCAAGATTAAAAATTAGTAACCTAGATGACATAAAAAAATTACTTTTATATCTGGGTTAGGAAACAAGAAAAAGGGGAGAGAGGAGGATGAGAAGGAGAAGAAAAATACAAAAGAAAAGCATATGTGGAGAAGCAAAATAGAGGAAAGGAAGACAAGGAGTGGCGGCGCGAGGTGGCGGCAGCAGAGGAAGGAGGAGAGAAGTATGGACTGGCGAACAACAACAAACAGTGCAAGGGGAATTGCCTGAGAGACAGGAGATAGAAGTGTTTTTTATTGGAGTTCAAATTTTAGAAAAAAGAGCCAAGTAATAAGCCCAGTCCAAATACTTACCGGACAAAAACCCTTGTACCGCATGTACACCACCTGAAATTAGACAGTCCCTGGTCTGGTAAGCCCAACTGGTATATAATGCCTGCACCAGTGGCACCACCCCATATCGGTCCTTGGTTGGACCAGTATGGTAATGATAACATAACTGACATAAAGATGGGAACCAACACAGGGTGCGACCAAAGTAAATAAATATAAATGAGGAAACCAAAAAAATTCATGCATCATTAGTTATCTCAACGCCCCAGTATAGCTCAAAGCCAATAAAACTGCAACCTCCTCTTCCTCTTCGTCTTCTTAACATATTCAAAGATCCAAGATCAAAGAATCAAGAAATGGACAAGCTTTTGACTAGTTTAGATCGAAAAGGATATTCTTATAAGTTATAACTTATAAGGATGTTTGCCATGTACCGCACGAAACTAGGCAGACCTTATGTTCTGGTTTCTGATTGGACTGATACATACCACCTGGTTGGGTAGCAAACTTCAGAAAAGCATGCACAGGTCAACTTGCAACAGTGGAAGCATTACATATATGGGTTGGCACAGACTTGTTACTGATAACAACTGAATCTGTTGTTACTAATGAAAATTTTCTCCTTAAATATATCTACTCCATTCTGAAGTACTTGAACAGTTAAAGAGCTTAGATGGTAAATGAGAAAGGAGTTACAATTTCAGTAAAGACAGATAAATAATTGAAATTATAACAGCAAATGAACAAAGTGCTAAGCTACAGCAGCTTAATGGACAAAATCATAACCTTTAATAGGTGTTTCAAGTAGAAGTGGTATCACCATATCTCTTATTGTATCCAACTGTATTAGTGATTCTGAAGTTTCAGCTGCAACTGACATACAGAAAGAGTCATCATGTTCCTTCCACTTATAAGCTGATGAACAATTCCTGTCATGTAGGCATTTTTCAAAAAACACAAGGAAAACATAACAGGTCAGTGCTTGTAAGGTAACTAGAGGGCATAATGTCAGAATGATCAGCCTGCATAAAAAGAAGGCAATACCTAGCACAACGTGTGAGATAACATTTAAGAATGATCATAATAGTCAATTCAAGTACTCTGCAACTAATGGAAATAAAAAAAGAATCTATAGAGGACATTGAACAATAAGCAAATTCTGTAATCTTGGCTTGAGTACAAGGTAAGAGTAATGAAATATTCGTATGTATCGAAAAATATATTCTACAACATATATATTTAACTTATGTCAATGAGATGAGAATGTTATGGTAAAAGTAGAATTAGGTGTGGCTTCAATAAGAAATAAAATGAAGAATTGTTTAAGATTTAAATTAATTAAGGATATTGCTTTTTATAGAAAATGGCAATAAGATTCATATAGTCGATCCCAAATACCGAAAAATAGATTCCACAAACTTAATGACATCATATTATGTGCATAGTTCATGTTTGTACAAGAGAACAAATTATACTTGTATTGTCAAACAACAAATTGATATCGACAAATTCAAACACCATATTTACACATGCCTTATAACTTTCATTGACTTAATATACAAATTAAACTGCAATATTAGTATTGCAAAAAAAAGTTCAAGATTATGATGTACACATTGCCAGGCTACATCAGATCAATTGAGTTTCATGTCTTAGTGCATCAGACTCCTAGAAATGAGGTAGTTTGGGAATAACAGTCTGAAAAAAAGTATACTAGTGAATGAAAGTCATGATGCCAAGTCACAGATGAACAACCATACCATGTTCACCAGAGCTTTCCCTCCAGTCAATTTTAGTTAAATGAATTCCAAATACTAAGTTATCTACCAAAATGCTTAAAGTTCACTTGTGATTTGGAATGATTTAGGTGCAAGAAAATCATGGTTTCACCAGGCTCTGATAAATAATGCATGTCATTAGAAGCAAGAATAGAAAAGAAAATATTTTCCTTCCTGAAAAATTAGATTAAATGGTTTCACCCAAGATAATATAGACGCATTTAAGAGAAACCGATAGATCTTATAATTAGATCCTGTGAATCAATAAGTATTGATAGTGCACTGAGCTAGAGATACAAGATACTTTTCTAGAAACATCAAAGATTCAAATGATCTTAGATTAACTAAGGATATTACCTTATATAGAGGTAACAATTAAAAAATCCATGTCGCTTGACCTCAAATAGTTTAGAGCATCATGGCTTTGTGATTAGTGTACTATTAAAATGTTTTGTGATATATAACAGTACGTTATTCAAGCATTACTTGCATCTCAACATGTCTTCACTTAAATTGTCCAATTCAGTTATGAAAAAAACATGAAACAAGTAAGCTCAATTTACAAGCATATGGGATCAAAAATATGTGCAAATGTCAGCAAGGAAGAGGTCAGTACAAGCAGCAGATTACACAAATGAATCTTGAAATTTATTTACAAGAAAATGGAGGACAGTGCTGCAAAGAAAGCAGTGACTGACTTGCTTACAAAACATAATCTCGGAAGCATTGGATTCATCCTTTCCCTCATACAATTGTAATGTTTTATGAGTTCATTTTTGACAAGTTGCACATTTAATCTTCTCCTCAACATCTTATCCTGTAAACGCAAAAATACAAAATAATTATATCTCTTGTAAACCAAAACTATCTAGATCAAGTACACATCCACAAAAGTTCCAAAAAGTCCAATACCTTGCTCACATGAAAATGCATGATCCATGGACTAAAATTTGTCCCTTGAACATCATGGCCATCATAACTAACATTGCAACATCAGAAAAGCATATGTTATTCATGAAAAGTAATAGAAGAAAACTAAATCATTTGATGGAAAAGTTGGTGAAAACCAAACACAGACAGAATCATGACAGTGATGATCAAATTGAAAAAGCAAACTCTCTCCAGATGATTCTTCACTTCCAAGGCTCCATACTCACAACCGTATCTCCAACCATGCAGTCGCTTTGAAAGAAAAAGTAAGGCAGTGTGATTTGTAGATGCATTAGACTTACAACAGTCCAACACCATCTGTGTCAAGGAAAACAAACTCATTCACAACGCAAACAAAGAGGCAACCAGAAATAGAAAATGACAAGAACTCAAATGTTAAACATAAGTATGAGAAGTAGAAAGTATTGTTTTGCAAGACGTGAATGCACAATAATTCAGGTCAAGGCTTTAGATAGTGTTACCAATACATGTACCAAAATATTATCTGATTGGCGTGTGCCAATCAGCAAACTACATATGAATTAATCCACTAAGAAAACTAAAAAATTCTTGATGTGTCAATAAGATCAGTACATCAGTCCACCAGTTCAATAGGTATACAAGAGCACTTGAAACCAAACTTTAGCTACTAAAGCTAAAAAATGTGGACACAAATCACAATTAGTACATCTTCCTGTGACCTAAAGAAATTTTAAATTTTCAAAATTATAATGCTAATGGCATGCTTATCTGAACATTGGGCAACTCTTTAGAGAAAATGACCCATCTCATAGACATCTTTGAGATATTTAAAACAAGGTTCGCAATACCGTACCATACCGGTATTTCAACCTGGGCTCGGTACTGGTACGGTACGGTATACCGAGCGGTACACCTGAGTGTACCGAGCACTGTAGCACTGCTACAGTGCTACAGTACCTCGGACCGGTAACCATCGGTCCGCATACCGAAAACCTGTCGGACCGGTACGTACCGCCCGTACCGGGCGGTACGGCAAACCCTGATTTAAAATACAATGTCCTCATCCTTCCCTGACAAAACATTTAACTATCATATCCTTGAACAAGATAAAGATCATTATATTGTAGTTTTATGGCATTTCCAACATTTTTTGTTCCAAAAAGCACCTAAGTAGTGTTTGCATATTGAATTATCAATCATTTATCTCCACGGAAGTCACATCAGATATATTCCCCCCAAAGAAGTATGGGCTTATTGGTCAAAAGCATACATTGTATTCATTGGAGACTGAAGGATAACATGGTTAGAAATTACCACACTCTACTAGTGGTACAGACCTAACTGGCATGAAATAACTTTACAACATTTTTCTTATGGGTGTATCACACAACTAGTACCTCACCAAGTAAACACTAGGAATACAACTATAACAAACAAAATACGGCAAAAGGTAACTAAAAACCTACACAGGTATGCACTGCCATGCAAAGCATGAAATAAAATATAACAAAAGAGCATTAAAAAACTACTATGATAAAAAATAAGGACATCTAGACAACTCAGTGATAAGCAAATATGCTGTTATTAGCTGGAAATGTCAGAAATATATCAATGTGGAAAGCATATCATTTAGCTAAAACATTACTCAGAAAAGGAAAAAAACTCAGCATCAATTTGTTCAAGTAACTAGATGTAATAAATCAGTTGAAAATATAACCTTTAATTTCATAAGTGGAGAATATTCCAAACTATTCATTGGAAACTCAAGAGATCCATATGCTGCTTCTGAAATCGAACAAGCAGCCCAAGAACCAACAGGTTCACCACCTAATCCAGTATATTCAGCATCCTTTCCATCATATGCAACACATGATTCCCCACCTTCAGTTGAATCCTCCAATATGCTATAAGAAAACTCCACAATTTGTTGACCATAAGCACTTCTAACCGTTCCATCATAAGCAAGATATAGATCACGCATGTAAAACATAAGCTTTCTTGTCAAAGTTCCAGGAAGTTCAGCATTTTCAGTGAAGAGATTAGCACGGCCACATATTGCATGGACAAAACATTCCAATGGATTTAAACCATCAAGAAAAGAAGTACCAATAACAGCATAGGAGCTTTGCCCACACGAACTTTTTGCGGCATCAGATATTCCACCATCCAATGCCTTCAGATTGTTCCACATACAGCAATTAAGTTTGCTAGGCACCGTAAAAGGTAGTGGATGTGCAAACAGTTGAAGACCCAGACATGCACCCTGTTGAATTAGTTTTACCAAGCTACCTTTGCTACCCGCATCAATCATTTCCAACATTGAATTATCCTTGTTAATAAACTGATATATTTGACTTAAAAGATCATGGTAAACATTCTTAAAAGCAGCAATAGAAACCTGGCTTACACATGTTCTTTCTGAAGCAATCTTGTATTGACTAATACAATCTAATGTATCTTCATCTTTATTCTGATTCCTCAAGATCTCCATCTCAGGTTCCAACATCAGCTGCATAACCTGGCAGGCATCCTCAGCTTCTTCCAATCCAAAATATATTTCATCCATCATTTTCAGTCGGGAATATGAATCTGATGAGAGGTAAACATCACCTAAGGAAACACTTAAACCTCTCAATGTTAAATATTCACAAAGAAGTTCCTGAGAACAACAGAGATAATCAAGAGCCTTCCTGCCATAATGTTTGAACATGGTAGTAAACAAACCAGTAGTAGTATTCTGTAGCCAAAAAGATCCTCCAAGAGAGGCCATAACTTCACCCTTACTTATCATATTTCTTGAATTTACACCAAAATCCATGGTTGGAGGAAGAAGCATGCTAAATAGTTGTTCTCCAGTCCATAAAGGAATCTGAAACTTAGGAGTCTTAACAACTGCAGGTGGCGGCATTGGAAAAGGACACAGCATAGCTAACTGTTGCATATCAACTTTGTTCAAAAATTCCCGATTTGCTGTTAGCAAATATGCGGCAGTTAAGCTATCATGTGTCAGTGAAACTAAGCTTCTACCATCCTGTGCATTAAATAACTGGTGGTCTAAACTAAGCAGCTCTTGAAGCTCTACTCTACAGCCAATGGATTGTGGCACATACCCATGTAAACAGTCTCCATCAAAATCACCTAATAGTGGAGCACAGCATAATGGGTTAATTGAAATGACTGACTGAATAGGAAGGATCATCACAGACAAAGCAATAAGAGAATGTTGATGCACAGATGGAGGCCTGTTAACTAATATAATGTCCCCATTCTCCAAAGGTCTAGACACTATATCACCAACTTGAAGTTGATTGGTTTTATGAAGTGAAGTTAATTGCCCTTTGCTTCTAGTATTAAGTCCTTCCTTTCTGAGCAGATGAAGATTGCAACTCATGTTCAACTTTTCTAAATTGTATGAATTAACTTGTTCAGCAACAATCAAACTTTCAGATATATCAAACGGAATACCAATTTCCTGCAACTTGATCTTTGGATCACCAACCATAGTCATGCGGAATACATTATCTGTTCTTTTGCTTAAAACCACATCTTTCAGCCATCTTATTCCAGAAGTAGAATCTCCCCTTGAAGAACTAGAAGCATGTAGCTATAACGACAAAAGAAAAAAAAGTATGAGCACATAAAATAAGATACCTACATAAATTGATGCAAATTTATAGCATATGTGAATCCTACATGCAAACATCCATTCGTATAACATACATTTGACTGATGATCGAACAAAACAACTGCAGTTCCTGAGTATAATTTACTAAAATTAATTGCAGCTAACAACGTACTTTCTGAAAAGTGCATTAGTAAATAGAAAAATTGCAAAAAACAAGCTTCACATGTAACATGAAAATGATTGGTGACAGATGTGAATATATTTCAGATTAAGATCTCTTCATATGATCCCAGTAGGTTACCAGCGCTAGGCACATAAATATAATCATATAGAGTGAAGCATGGTAAACATGCTATCATGACCCAATTCTAACATTCTACCATGCCATAGCATGGTGATCCAAAACCATTATAGAATCACATCCATGTCGTGTACCACATGCATGAGAGAAAAAAATTGTATATCTTGCCTTAGAAGCATTAAAGCAGTCGAGAACCCGGCTCATGGTATAAGAGGTTGCAAGAGGACCAAATTGCTGATGATGCCTGAACTCACCAATTTTCTTACTTACATCTGCTAACCTTTTATAAGCCCTCGTGCGTTCATCCTGCATAAGGACAAGACATAGTATGTCAGCATAAAGGAAACAAAGTGAGATAGCAACTCGACAAACAAGGTGGCAATCTTATAGAACCTACATACATATACAACATGCACATAGAGAAGCAACTTACAAAAGATAATTTTGGACCATCAGCAAAAACATGTGATGTCTCCACCACTCGTTGACAATTAGGAGTAATTGGAAGATAAGAAAGAAACAGTAGCTCACGCCTTGAAACAAACTGCTGAATAAATTCCGGATCAAGCTCACTTAACAAGCAAAATACCTGAAAACAAAAAATATTTATATTCAACCAGTAGTAGATAAAATAATATAGAAAGATAGCCTAAAAATATCCCAAATTGAAGATGAACGGGCAAGTTTTCAGATATATAAAATTGAAAGAAGAGAGTGCTCTCAAAATACGGGTAACTGCTAGAATTTAATGTACAGACAATACGCTAAGTAACATTTTAACACCAACAATAACAAAAGTCATAATGTCCCTACTAATTTTGAGGTTGGCAACATAGATGAAAATGTTGATTGGCCATCTTGACACCCTTAATATCTTTTTCAACATGAATAGCTTGTTTAAAGCTTTGAAAACTAATCAGATAACTGCATAGAGAGCATTGCATCAAGAACCTATCACTATCACTACATCAAATCCATGGAACAATGCTTAAGATAGTAAAACCTAATAGTACAGAAGATCTGGATGCATAATTAAACAATGATGATATTTCTTCTTTTCCATTTAGCTACACATTTTATGTAAGATGGATACCCGAATTGGGTGAGACCACACTGTGGGACAAAACTATAAGAATAACACAAAAACCTACAACATGGGGTTCCTCCATGACCTTGTTGTGTACATCTTGCCATACAAGTAAAAGCAACAAACAGTCTTCTTGTTCAGCCAGGCAGAACACCATGTAGCAATCTACCATCAAAGCAGGCAGCTGTTAGGACTCTAGCTAGGAGAGTCCTAATTGAGATGGACATTTATGTAAAACCTACCTAAGCCGACCCCTATTAAAGAGGTGAAGAGGCCGGTTAGGATTAGGAGGTTATTTCTTAGAGAAGAATTAGGAGTTGTAAAGGAATAGGAGTCGTGAGTAGAAGTCCTATTAGGAGTTGGTTAGAAGTAGGAGTCTTGAGTAGGAGTCCTATTATGAGTTAGGGTTTAGAAACCCTATAAATAGCCATGTATTCCTCCTCTTTTTATAAGCAATAGATGAATCTTTTCTGCAACCTTTGAGCAGCAACTTGGAGAGAGGAACCCCTATAGAGTTCCAAGGAGGCCGATCCCCTAAAGAGATCAACCTCAAATTTAGAATCTGCAAGGGTTCTAACACCTGGTATCAGAGCAGCGTTCTTGGCATCTCGCTGCCCTTCCACAGCCATCCATCAACCCTCCACAACCGCCCAAAGCAATTCCCACAATTGCTTAAGAGATCGTTGCCAAATTTCACCGTCATCTCCACCACCACGGATCATCCTTTGATCTCCCCGTAAATTGCAACAGGTTCTGGTTTTCTACCTTACTGCTGCTGCAATTTAGTTATCCTTATTTGAAAATCCAAAAAAAAAATTATTCCTATATTGCTGTATAAACTTTTCGTCATAAAGTTTTCATCTCTACGACGAAAGATACATTGCATAATTCCAACCGTATAGCACCGTCTGTTTGATCTTGCTATTGTGTTTTTTTTATCCAAATCTCTACAAAATTTTTATGAAATCTTTGACATTTCCTAACAGCAGATTTCCTTTGGTTTTGTCAAAAAAATCTCAATATAAATCATTGATATTTTACGTCTAATCTGCTATACTTGAAAATCTGCACTGTAAAATTTCAGCCGCATAGCACTGTTTGTTTGATCTTGATACTACGTTGTTTCTATCCAAATCTCTACGAAATTTTTATAATAGCTTTGGCACTTCCTAACAGTGGATTTCCCTTTGGTTTCATCAAAAAATTCTCCATATAAACCACTGATCTTTTACGTCCAATCTGCTATACTTAAAAATTTGTGCTGCAGAAAATTTCAACCGCATATTGTTGCCTTAACCCATCTATTTACAATCTTTTTCGAATGAAATTTCTTATACACTTCATAGATCATCTTGGCTTCCATCTAAGATTGATCTATTAAGAAATTCATCTCTAAAAACGATTTTTTGTTGCTGCAAATTTTCGTCGTAACCCGCTGAAATTTTTCGACGAGAATTCTGCAATCGCAACTTGCACCAATTTCTTTGCTGTTATACTGCCAAAATTTTCTTGATTAAATTAGATATCCTTGCTGTCATATAAACTATGATTTTGCTATCAATTCCCTCCTCAATTCTCTCAAGTTTTTAATGGAAATTACGTCGAGAAACCGTTGTTTCTTCGACGACAATTCTACTCTTACAAGACAGCACATACTTGCTGTAATTTCCACTGATTTCTATCAAACCTTTGCTACCATCTACCACAGATCCAAAACTTTCATCTATAGCCCTAAAACTCCACCAAACCACACCCTCAAACTGCACCCAAAATAGCCACAAAATAAGCCTAAACCGTAGCCTACATCCACTAATCCACCAACCCTTTCGACCATCACCTCTCTCAACCAATACATGCCTTTAACCCGACAACAAAAGAGAGATCTTAACATCACAGATTTGGCAGCATATACTCTGGCATCTGAGGAGGTAATCAATGCTAAATTCAAAGTCTTCGAGGCGCGAATGGAGGATAAGATTCGGACGCTCTTTACCGAACTCAGATTGGGTCGACCACTAAGCCCGAAAAAATCACATCAAGGAGAGAACTTTGCCCAATCGCACCAAGCCCGAAGATATGACTTCCAAGAGAGGGGAAGCTCTATGACCAACCCCAACTATCCATGCATGAGAGTGGACTTCCCTAGATGGGAAGAAGGAGACCCGATTAGTTGGATCTCGCGTGCGGAGCGATATTTTCGGTACCATAACGCGGATGCATCTATGGTGAAAATTGCAGCTATACATCTTGAAGGATATGCTATACAGTGGTTTGACTGGTTTGAACATACTTATGGAGTCCTTTCATGGCGACAATTCAAAGAAGGACTGTTGATCCGCTTCAAACCAACCGATTACGAGAATATTGACGGACAACTAGCAAAAATCCGACAAACCTCTACCATTCAGGAGTACCAAACCAGATTTGAAAGGTTATCTAATCAAACTCGTGATTGGTCTCAAAAACAGTTATTGAGGACCTTCATTGAGGGCTTGAAGCCGGAGATCCGAGGAGAAGCTAAAGCGCGACAACCATATACGCTTATGGCAGCCATCTCTTTCGCACGACATCAAGATGAGCAATTGAACCATGAAGCTCAGAGGACTAGGGTCACTCCTCAACCAGTAATATTGAAGCCCTCAGCCCCCACTACTGTTAACCAAGTCCCTACACCAAAGAGGTTAACAAGAGAAGAGCTTCGGGAGCGATATGCGAAGGGGGTTAAGTTGGCATTGTGACGAGCCGTGGAGCCGTGAGCATCGCTGTAGTAAAGGGAGTCTTCTTATAATTGAACAAATAGAAGAAGAGGTCATTGAACATCCATAAGAGAGCCTTGAACATGAAGAAGAAGATGGAGAAGAAGAGCCACAACCAACCGAAGTTACGGTATATACACTAGCCGGCTACTAAAACCTGCAAACGATGAAAGTTGAAGGCCTTCTCAAACAACAACTGATCACTGTTCTCATCGACACGAGCAGTACTAATAACTTTCTAAACAGTAAGGTTACTATCCAGATAGCCTTATCTATCGAGAATTGCAACAGGTTTGACGTTAAGGTCGCCGATGGATGGATTTTGAAGTATGATTATAGGCGCCCACAAGTGAAACTGTTGCTGATCATGAGGCCTTACCAAGAGATAATTGCATATTTCTTCCTTCTCCCTCTTGATGATCATAAGGTCATGCTCATAATTAAATGGTTGACGACATTAGGTGATATTTCTTGGAATTTAATGCAACTAATTATGAAATTTTACAGTAAGGAGAAACAGGTGATACTGAACGGGAAACGTGGGGGCGACGTAACGACGATTTGCACACAACAAATGGAGAAGGTTTTGCATAAAGCATGCAGCAGATTTTTGGTACAACTTGAGCAGCAAACTAAGGGAGAGCCAATAGAATTTGAAGATCCAAACCTACTTCCTTTGCTTGCTGAATTTTCAGATATATTTGACGAACCGTACAACCTACCTCTTACCCGTCGGCATGATCATTATATAACGATTCTTTCAAGCAAACCTCCAGCAAATACTCAGCCATATCAATATCTACATCACCAGAAGGATGAAATAGAAAGGATTATAAAAGAGATGCTCGAAACAGGAGTTATTCGGCCAAGTTGCAACCTCTACTCTTCACCGGTGATACTTGTACGCAAGAAGGACGGAACATGGCGAATATGCGTTGATTATCGAGCTCTCAATGACATAACCATAAAGGACAAATACCTTATTCCAATAGCAGATGAATTGCTAGATGAAAGGGAGCACAAATCTTCACAAAGCTGGACCTTTGATCCGAGTATCATCAAATATGAGTGTGCGAAGAAGACATACCGAAAACCACCTTTTGAACACACAACAACCACTATGAATTTTTGCTTTCTTCAATAGAAGGTGGAATATCTTGGGCATATCATATCAGAGGAAGGTGTGACGGTGGACCCCTTCAAAATTGAAGCAATGCAAAACTGGCCTACCCCGAGAAACATAAAATTGCTACTTGGCTTTCTGGGTTTAACAGGCTACTACCGTAAGTTCGTGAAAAACTATGGAAAGATCAATGCACCACTTACTTTATTACTGGAAAAAGATGTCTTCCAATGGTTGGACAGAGCCTCCGCTGCCTTCGACAAACTTAAGGCAGCCATGACGACGACGCCAGTGCTAACACTACCAGATTTCAATCGACCCTTCATTATTGAGGTCAATGCATCTGGAGTCGAAATTGGAGCCATTCTCATGCAAGATGGTCGACCAATCACATACACTAGCAAGGCATTATCTCCCTCCCATCAAAATAAGTCAACATATGATAAGGAGATGCTCGCCATTGTGCGCGCAGCAACGAGGTGGAGACCCTACTTGATTGGTCGACGATTTCAAATTAAAACCGACCATAAAAGCCTCAAGTACTTTTTGGAGCGAAAGATATCATCCCCTGAGTAGCAAAAATGGGTAACAAAACTTCTTGGATTTGATTATGAAATAACTTACAAAAAGGAGTTATTCCATATGCAGGGTACTAAATTGAAAAGAAGGACGACATATCACCCACAAATCAACGGCCAGACAAAAGTTGTAAATAAGTGCTTGGAGACAGCCCAAAGCCACCCACCAAATATGACTATCCAAGGAGAACTCCAGACCCAGCCAAGTGTCATTATTGATCGACGGATCGTGACTCGACGACGACGACCCACTACTAAAGTGCTAATACAGTGGGTGAACCTACCAACAGAAGATGTCACTTTGGAGAACTATGACGACTTGAAGATCAAATTCCCAAAATTCATGAATCGTCAGCCTCGAGGACAAGGCTGATTTGAAGAGGGCAGGTCTGTTAGGACTCTAGCTAGGAGAGTCCTAATTGAGAGGGACATTTATGTAAAACCTACCTAAGTCGACCCCTATTAAAAAGGTGAAGAGGCTGGCTAAAGTTAGGAGGTTGTTTCTTAGAGAAGAATTAGGAGTTGTAAAGGAATAGTAGTCTTAAGTAGAAGTCCTATTAGGAGTTGGTTAGAAGTAGGAGTCTTGAGTATGAGTCCTATTATGAGTTAGGGTTTAGAAACCCTATAAATAGCCATGTATTCCTCCTCTTTTTATAAGCAATAGATGAATCTTTTCTGCAGCCTTTGAGCAGCAACTTGGAGGGAGGAACCCCTATAGAGTTCCAAGGAGACCGATCCCCTAAAGAGATCAACCCCAAGTTTAGAATCTGCAAGGGTTCTGACAGCAGCATAAAATGTGCCTTGGCCAAACCCTGATGTGACGCCTTAAGGGATGTGTTTGGCACGATATTGACAATTCGACATGCTACTAATCTATATGATATTGTTTAAACCACATGCTAGTATTAATTATTGCCATTTATTTGTAAATTAAATTCTTTACGAGCTATATCTTATCCCTTTTTTTCAATTAGACCACCTTTTGAAATGTTTTTCCAATAAAAAAATTCAAAAATCAAACAAGCGCAGAGTTCATCGTCTTTAAGTTGTACCTGTGTAAGCATGCACCATTGCACATGCTGTAGCATGGGCATATCCAGTAGCACAGCTCACAGCACATGCAACTATATGTGGGCATGTGCTCGAGACAGCAGCTGCCCTATGCCAATATCCCACCAGCATGATACGTGTACAGAAGCAAGGACACCCAAGCTGACAAGAGACCACCACCGCCAGTTTGGACAAGGCAATCATGGCAGGTTGGCTTAAGCACCTGATGCATTCAAAACTCATCTTGAACAAATCCCATCTCACTACACCTTTTCTATTTCAGCGTGCACTCGTAGCAAGGATCCAGTTAAAACTATTCACATAATTAATTCTCCTTTATCAAGGAACAAAAATAACCCACTTACCATGTGTATTAATAGCATTATATAGAAAATAAAATATGTGCAAGAAAAATATCACTCCAGCAATCAAAAAGGCTAATAGAGCTGTGGATTGGCCTGCTCAGTTAGCCTCTTTGACTGATGGGCCTGAGTAGCACATAAGCTTTCTAAAAGTTAAATGGGAGGAGGCTTGTGGTAGGCAGTATGCTAGGGATATATGGGGTCGAACCTTTGCTTGTATCGTGGGATAACTACCATTGTCATAACTCATAAGAAACAATGGACGAAAAGAATTCTTTCTTCTCCGAATGGTTTCTATTAAGAATGGGCCTTGGCAACCTTGGCTACATGGATATCAAAAAATCAGGTCCAAAAGTTTATTTTAAGATTAAATCATGCACACAAAGAAAACCACCAGTCTTTTGTGCATTATCAGATCTTAGGCCCTGCACAATGGCAGAAATTATCAGTCAAATCCCATATAAATTCTCTAATACCATGACAAATTCTTAATGAGAAGGTAGGCATGCCCAAGTGGCAACAGTGCATGCTAATCCTTCACTAGCCAAATTAAACTGAAAAATAGAAACCAGACCAAAAAAATTGGAAAGAAGTTAACAATGAAATCCTACAATAGAATCTTTGGTCATCAACCACTCCTGCAACAGACCACTCGTTTAATTGGATAATCAAAAAATGTTGGCCAATGTATGCAGTCCTACCCCAGCAAGGCACAGAAAAGCTTCTCGTGCCCAAACTCTGGTCACGTAAGTCGCCGAGAAGCAACCATACTGCGGCACCAACGCTCGCCCTCTCCTTTAGTAGGATTATAATCTCACATAAGTTATGACCAATACAAGAAATTACTTGTATTCTTCAACATAATTTCTTAGTGGATGAATAATCAAACTCTTTAAAAATCATAAACAAAGAATTCTAGAGTGAAGGCACAACAATCCTTTGCAAGTTTACCAACCCAAAATTATAATTAATGACCTATGATTTTTCACTTTTTCTCATTGAAAAAATACTCCATCACTATAGACATGAGGTCAGAAATATAAGTATCCAACCCATGTCTACTTCCCTATGTTTCATATAAAAAATATCATATCCATCACATGTATATTGTCAGTGGAGTTCAAGCTGCACAAACCAAAGATCAAAAAAAGCATTTGCTAGTCATGAAGTTACACTACCAGCATAGCAAGGCAACCAAAATATGGAAGCGTGCTGACACTGCAGTGGGTTGCCATATAATATTCATATCAGCCAAAATGCTTCTGTGGCAAATGCCACCAGCAATTACCATGTCTGCTTGTTACCAGCATTGAGGCATGCAATAAAACTGAAAATTTTGACATGCCCCAGTCCAATATCCATACCATGATGATAAGGTCCATGCCCTAACGCCCCAATCTAAGAAATATGACTAAAATCCATGGTAAAACAACTAGACCCATGATTAGCTGGTTATGAAAACCTACAAAAACAAGTAGGTACCTGATGTAGCATATCATGATTAAATTCACAAACCAAAGATATGTATCAAAGAACCAAAGTTGGTACCTGATGTGGTGTCAGATCAATCTTGCTTGGCTTAGCTCCTTGCAGCAGTGAAACTTTTGGTATAAAGTTCCAATAATCTTCAGGAAGTACTTCACCAAGACTCTGACTGTGAAACTTCTTTGGCAACTTTTCATTAACTTCTGCTATTATTGAAAGGCTTCTCCTACCTAGAATGTCTTTTGATGAGATCTTAAACTTCACTGGGGGGTACCACCCATTTGCTTTCCTCTGTTAGAAGATAGAAATAACCCCCTCCTAATCATTGCAAGGAGAAAAATGCAGTTCATAAAACAGACATCTAGTCTACTTACAGCACAGTACTTGCAACACACTTGAGAATCTTTTGACACCCAATTCTTTGTTTGTGTAGTACATGCATGATAAGAGTAAAATAACGATTGTCAAAACCCAGATGCAAGGGAAAACATGACGAATTGTTAAACTACAAGCAAAAATTTCAAAGAAAAGTTACAAGTATACGACAGAATAAAGTTACAGTGCAAATAATCAGCCTGTTCAGTTTAGTGACAGGAAATCTTGTCCTTACTAACTAGAAAGTTAGACCAAGGCTTACTATGCCCCAGTGTTGATACCAATCAGCAGCTAACACTTGGTACAGGTCAATACCATCGAGACCAGGAGAAAGGGAAAAAGATGAGGGGAGGAGGAGAAGAAGGAAGAATGTATGGCAGAGGGGGAAGAAAAGCCGAAAGAGTGGAGGAAGTTGGGGAAAAGGAGGAAAAACAAGTCAAAGCAGATGAGGAAGAGGAGGAGAAAGCAGAAAAGGAAAAGTAGAAGGCATATTTTGACGGATGACGGTGACACACAAGAGCAACTATGAAGCAGCAACTACAAGGTGGTGGGGCGGCGATGATGTTATGAGGAGAAGAGGCAGAGAAGAGAAGGAGAGAGAAGCCTCATGGGAAACCTGGAAAAAAATGAGCTGCCACAGAAAATATTAAAAATTTCATATGGCAACGGAACCCCTGTTCCACACCGGACCAGATGATTTTAGTTGGACCAACAAATACCAATACGTATACAATAGTCAGAAGAGTAATGAGTAGAGTTTATTTCTTGTCAAAAAGGGTCATCATAATATATAAGCCTAAATGCTTCAATGATGAACTCTAACATGTCTGCAGTCTGTCATTATATAACATCAGAAAATAAGGGTGGTTTGCATGTGAATGTCCAGTGTGAATGAAAATTTAGAGAAGAGATTGAAGTTCCAACACTACTGGCTGGTACTAATCGACTTTTATGAGTCTTATGACAGATCAAGATGCAAACTAGGCAATTTCATTCAGTTCAGTTTAGATTCAAGCTCAGCATCCAATAAGCTTGTCACATCAAGCTTCCCAGGTGATATGCTCACCAATACTAAGCCATATCAATGGTAAGCCTTCAACATGATATTGATGCCCATCATACTTTCAATTATTTTTTATTCTCTTATTCCATTGCTGCTTCTCCTTCCCGAGTCACTACCAATAAGCTCAGCATCCAATAAGCTTATCACATCAAGCTTCCCAGGTGATATGCTCGCCAATACTAAGCCATATCAATGGTAAGCCTTCAACACGATGCTGATGCCCATCATACTTTCAATTATTTTTTCTTCTCTTATTCTATTGCTACTTCTCCTTCCCGAGTCACTACCTCCTCCCCACCACCACTACTCCTCGACAGCTATTTGTTCATGTCACTATGTTGCTGCCTCTTCTAGTCACATGGTACCACACCACTCTCCATCTTCCACCACCTGTGTGTGTGTATCATAGTCCAACCAGTACTCACTGGTACCAATTCATAATTGATGTTACAAAACTGCACCAATAATTCTTAACTTAGACAACAACTGACATCTCAGAAATGACCAATGAATGCGGTCAAAAATTGTCCTGCCCAAGTAACTAAACAAGTTACCTTTCTGGTCTTCAAAATTTTCTTCAAGTTAATGAAACGAACTTTTGTGTTACGAGCCAGAATACTCCGAGTAGGAAGCAACAGCTTTGATCGGCACAATTTCAGCAACCTTCTCTGAAGAACAGTAAGGTTCTTTCCAAAAGCCTCTAGAATGTAAATACCTTCTCCAATGGCTTTCTCACTAGCCTCTAGGATAACGGAACCCTGGAGGGAACAAGTTGCCCAATCAAATCATGCCGTAAGATTCTTGAATGATAAGACATGCATGAGAATTACTGAGGATAACATAATATGATGTTATGCAGCAACAAAAACATAAAGGGTCAACATAAAATCATGATGCTATAATCCCACAACTATGGACAGAAAAATACAAAAAAATGGCATCAAAAGCAGACATATAAGGACAAAGTAACAGTAACCAGATGATCATTAACCCTCAGCTTGTGGCACATGTTACTATTTTAGTTCCATTTCAAACCTAGCACGACCACAAGCATCAATGAGGAGAAACATTAACTTCCAAAAAAATAAGCAAAAAAGCATCCACGCTTCCATCAGAATGCTAAAGGTTCAAACTTCAAAATTGTCCATCATCCAAAGATGCCTATAGCTTCAACTAATAAACCATGCTCAAATTACATATTCATGTTCCACCACCAAAAATTAGTCCCTTAAGAATAGAAACTATAAAATTTTGAAATTGTTACCACACCAAGAAAAAAAAGACAAATGAAATCACCTCTTAACTACAATTTTCCCTTTTACGCAAAGTTATTTGACGTACAAGTTCAATAGTAGGGAAGGGGAGGGCCAAAGGTTCTATTTCCAATGACCAAGTAATCAGAGAGTTTAGCTAACTAAAAATTCTTAATGCACATAACTCTCAGAAACATACTTAAATTCATATTGCCTGCTCTCAACCAGAGCCAAAGTCATGCTGAACAAATTTCATGCACAAAACTTCAGCACATACAAATCTCATGCACAAAAGTCAGCAGGGCTGGCATGGCACTGGCATTCAGTTCTGTGCAAATCGAAGGTGCAGGTTTAGACCAGGCACAAAATCACTGTTGGTATGAATCATAATTACAAGGCACAAATTCAGTTCTGTACTAACACACACTCATGCAATGAAACTGAAAGCCACTGTTTTGACCACAAAACAATGTCGGTATGGATCATAATGTCCATTGGTAAAGCTTCAGGATCCTCAACTCCATGTGCCTTCTATAGATATTATACAACAGCCATCATTTCTGCATTAATAATCGAAAAATCTCAGATGGTTTCAGACTCTAAAAAAGAGAGATTCCACATTTTATTAGATACATGCTTGAAAGGACCATCAAATGCATAATTGTGATTCTTAATAAATGAGATTAGTAACATTATATCTGAACTTACAAGCCTGCACATGCAGGATTTATTCAAACTAGGTTAGTCTCTCATGGATCCTGTGTTCTTGTGCACTTTATGTGCTTTCATTTTCTTTTAAAATTGTCCACAGCAGACCCATCTCTGGCCCGACACTGAGGCTGCTATACTAGAAGTCAGAACTGAAATAATAAACAAAAGAAATATGAAAACCCCTTTGTATCTATGTCTAATTATGATTTCTGATAACAATGGAGATGAGACAATGGGCAGTGACTTCCCTCTGAATCTTCTCTAACTGACCACAAAACCATGAGGTTCAAAATTCTAGAATGACACTCTAACCCATTAATACCTATAACTATAAGCAATTCCATCATTCAGAAATGTCCACAATATTTGTCCTGGGCCTTGGTATTCAAGCCTTGCCAAGCATCAATCAACATCCAAATTCCATAGCTTTTGCATGACCAAGGGAAACAATGACATAAAAAAGGGAAAAAGGTATGCTGCCTCACCTCTATAAATAAAATATTTGTTTCTCACTTTCCATGAAAACCAGCACATCAAATTCAGAATTTTTCAAAATCAACATGGTTCTAATAATTTTATCCTGAAACTAATGTTGAAATAAAGAAAGAAAATGCTATAATTTAACTTCTAATCATTTGTTTAACAAATGTTGTGCATGTAATTATGTTCCCTGTCCTGCATACAACAGTAGATGTAGTGCAAGTTGAGTTATCCAACCTTCATCTTTAGATCCTTTTTAACAGTCTTGCATCCAGGGCAGATTTGATTCAAAATATGAACAACTTCGGTGACAAAGAAAGGGTGATAAATTGTTTTTGGCAATTTAACAAACCCAGAATGACCTGCAAAATCAATTTATAAAATCTTCCATTATAAATAAAAATAGGGTCTAACCAACAGTGCTCATATAAGCTCACCATCACAATCTCTGATGTTTCTGGATCCACATGTTGCACACTGTGAAGATGCATTTGGCAAGCCTAACTTAGCACTAGTCACTTCATTAGCCTCTACAATGTTAACATTACAGATTTTTTCCTATTTAAAGAGAATCCAGAAGAAGTTAGAAATTGGAATGTGAAAGTACAAGACGTAAGGACAAAAAGAAGGAAGAAAACCAAATTTACACAAATATTTAGAATGGCTATAAAGGTAGTAAGATTACTTATAACTGATGTTTCATGAATAGACCAGATCATTCTATTTATAAAGTGAAAGCAACTAAGTGTATAATTCCTCAAGAACAGCAGTGACTGGTCTGACAAAGCAAAAAAAGAAAGGGTCAAACTTCAACATTTTTACATCAAATTTAACTCATTAATTATGGAGGACGAGAAGTATGACTACAGAATCTGAGACAGAAGTGTCTACCACTCCAAAGAGGAGTGACGGGCAAGAAAAATATGACACTTAGAGAAGGTTGCTTTGGCAACAATGCACATGTCACCCAGTATTCTAATCTCTTTTTCATACACACCAAATATAATCAGCAATGTGAAAACTTAATTAAACAACTAGGTAGCTACAGTAATTTCTCAGACAAGACATATAGCTAGCCCTCATCAAGTAAATAGACCATCCTAGGTTTCCAAAGCATAACTAGCAAGTAAATGAATGTGGCTACAGCATTACAGAACCACAATCCTATTATGTAGATCAGTGACCATCCTTTTAACGTCATCCAGCTTAGACATTCTTAGAATTCCAATCAACGAAGCCAATAACGAGTAAAAATATGTAAAAGGCTGTTTATCTCATTCTGAATCATCCACCACAGGGGAAAAGAAAAATAAACCAGTAAATATATGTCATACAGATATATATATATA